TCTTAATTTGCACTGCTGTTAACGGAGTAAAACTTTACTCGATGGTAAAAATTCTCGATAAAATTATTCCTGAAATTAAAAAAAAATATTGCATTACTGAGATAAATAATTCTGTATGATACATAGAAGAATTTCATATGGTTTAATCTATGAAGTATTTCAACTGTTTGAAATGAAGTAATTTTAAAGTTATTTGTGATTGCTTGTTTGTAAATTAAAACAGAAATGTTTGAAGATAAGATATTGTATAATTGCAGGTACGATTGCAGTATTATGTTCTTACATTCAAGAAACATTGAAAAAAATGATAATTGTGAAGCATATATATCTACTGTTAACGAACAAGTAATCAGGCTTTCTATATAATATCAGTAATCACAATAGGTCTGTTCGCGTTGCATGAAATCCCCAAATATTTTTGCACTTAAAATGAGATAGATATATATTTGGCCTTGAAAAGAGAGAAAGCGAAGATGCCGAGTGCCAAAAGTGCAAGCAACGCGAACAGACCTAATTTAGTCAGCATGGATACTGTTCAAGAGCAAGAATGAGATAGAGTGAGATAGAATGTATAGATAAAATGAAATAGAAATATGTCACTAGTACTATAAATGGTTGCCAAGTCATGTGATTGCAACAGCGAATCAGAATGCGTAACACCGGTTGCGTCTCTCTGATAAATCTAGGACTCTAGATTATGGCTATGTTCCAAAATTGAATGCCTGTGCTGAAAATGTATAGTACATGTAACATAAACTGTTGCATTTTCAGTGTTGACGGTAAATTTGCAACACAGCCTTCGTATCTCGAAATAATGTGAAAATTACAAAAGTGAACAAATTCACTAGAATACTCATAATTTAATTGGTCAATAATTAGTAAATTTGCTCACTTTTGAAATTTTCGCTTCATTTCAAGATACACAGGGTGTATTCCGAACCGGGTTAGCTTAGCTTATTTTTTCCTCTAGATGTTCGCAGTTCCATAACTAAACCGAGAAGTGTTCCGAACCCGTCGGCTGTCATAACTCGTAACCAATAGAAGCCAGTAGTTGAGTTCAATGGGTTCGGAACACTTCTCGGTTTAGTTACAGAACTGCCAACATCTAAGGAAAAAATAAGCTAAGTTAATCCGGAATACATCCACAATCGACTCTCTGGGTGGAATCCATGACGGTGCTCAAGATTCGAGATGGTCTTAAGCTAGTGCATGAACCCACGGAGTAATAAGGAGATCAAGCTTGAGGATGAAATATGGGCTCGAAACACGGTTTCGGAAAATCCCATGGAAAATCGAGATGTGATTTTAGCGCCATTGCGGGAAAAGTTGGAAGTATTGACTGTCACGTGACATACATTTCGCTCTCTCTAACCTACATTTTGCTAACTTACATTTCGATGTGTTTTGATGTGGAAATTTCATTTATTTTTAATCACGAAGGTATTTTTAATAAAGAGAATTGAACATTTATATATATATATATATTTATTTATTTTCTCTTACCGTTCGTGGTGCAAATAGACTTTTTCCACTACTTCCACATTTACAATAAGGAACTATGCAATTAGGCATATTTGGACAAATATCTAAAAAATATTAATAAAATATTACTCTCTAATAAGAAGGAACAAAGTCGAATTTCATTAGTCTAGTGGATTAAACAGCAGTTTCTCCTCAAGTTTAATATTATTTGTTATATATAAATATGATTTCTATACACGAATTTTAATATTTATTTATTGAATACATACCAAATCAAAGTCAACAAGAAATATTGGAATCTTATACTTCGTTAGGATCTGAGCATAAGAATTGTCCTAACACTTTACGATGCACAAACACTTAACACGACGTAACACGTTTTCCCGCGCATACGAAATACGTGTGAAGACTTGTTGAAAAATATCCTAGTTCACAGTTTTCTCCGATAGGCGTGTTCGGATCAGTTCTTCTATATAGCGCTTTTCCGACACCATTAGGGCTATTCTGTAATTTTTAATGACAGTTCGGTATCGTTATATTGTCGTTGCGCAGTTTTTTCACCATGTAAAATACCTGCGCAACGACATCCCTAGCTAGTAAAATTGTCGTTAAAAATTACAGAATAGGCCTACATGGCCGGTATTCATAGTCGATTCTTATTTCAAGACCGTCTTAAGTAGTGTCTTAAGACGCTAATGCAGTTTTCTGATTGGTTCGTGACTTCTTAAGATCGTACTTAAGACGGTCTTGAATATAAGAACTGACTATGAATACCGGCCAATGGATTCCATCCTCTGAGTACATCCATTTTCGGTTTGGGAACTACGAACTACGTAGCTACATCCATTTTCTGAACCTGTCGATAAAATCATAGCACAGCCACAGAGAATTACGGGCGACGGCACCGACGGCACCGACCACACCGACCACCATGGACGTAATGTACGGGCGATTTCGACGGTAACGTCGGTAACGGGAAAAAGACCGGCATGATCTCTCTCTGCATGATTTCTCTCTGTCGCAGTGCTAAATCACGTGCTAAATTGCTTTAAAAAATATAATATAAATTATAATTTGTAGATCATTTAAATATTTTGTAAATATAAAATTATACATATTTTTTTTATTACTAATTATAAAAATTCTATAACAATATTCTTCAAATCGAGATATTAATATAGCAATATGACTCTCTCTTCACTTAGTTCTATTTATTAAATATTAAATATGTCGTGATATAAGAAGTATTATGCTCATTCGACAATTTGCAAGATTAATGCCGATATAATTTCATTCAGTCTATTTTCCGATGCCGTGTATATACAAAAAACTTAATGTCGTTTTGCATTTCATACACAATAAAGTGAGCGTAATGATTATTACTATAATACATTTAATACCTAACAATAAAATAAAACTCAGTCAAGTTCAAATTGTATACCGATATAACTATTAATATATTATGATTTAAAATTTTGCTATAGATCGACTTTAAATATATTTATATCACCGGGTGATAAACATCCTCGGATTATTAGGCAAAATTCTTTATTGATTACACTTTACAATTACATTTTTTACTGGGTCGTGATAATCTGAAAAAGTTCAGTATCTCGTGAAATAAAACGCCATGCGCGGGAGCCATTTATATATAAATGTATATATGTATATACATGTATATGTGTTATATATTATACACACATATCTATATATGTATATATGTGTATTTTTTCCTCTTTAATTATACACGGCATACATTCGTTCTTAGTAAAATGATAAAATTCACATATGTAAATACGTCACGTTACACGCTATATGGGGGCGTAGCTCATGTATGTATTTTGCATTTTTGTGTATGTGTTGTATACGTACGTGTGTGGGTCTATACATATATGTATATATAAAGATCTAATACACGAGATAAAAACATCGTAAGAAACTAACACGTCGAATTATTTCTCGTCGTTAATGTAATCACGTGGATGTCCTCCACTTGGTGTCCAAAAATTGAACATTTTTTTCGCATTTTCCCTCAAATATTCACAATAACGGAGCACTGTCGAAATGATTTTTCTCCCTTTTCTTTCTTCCGTTTCTGTCGTCGAACGAACAATTGTCCATCCAGTGCAATTTCGTAAACACGTGTATGTTCTTCGCAGGCTTCAAATTCGTATGTCGCTTCGACGTCAGTGACGAAAAAGACGAAAAAGACGAAAAAGATAGGTCGCAACGGATCAGCTTCCGGATGTAGCGTTGACGATTCGTGGACATTTCGACTGGATGCATACGAGAATACGAGAAGAAATCACGGTAAGTTCTAGAACATTATAGTTACATCTAAAATTGTAAATTCCAGTAGCTAAAAGATTTCTCGAGTCAATGTTTTAATGATAATCGTAAGTATACAGAGCAAGTATAAAATGTATTTAAAAAAAACCATATTTTATAAAGTAAACATTAAACTTTTTAAAAAGTAAACATTATTCGGTGAGAAATAATTCATTGAATTAATGACGAATCATTTTGATATCAATATAATGATTTCGACATCAATTCGACATCGATTCGGATATATCTTGCTGGGTAATTAACAATTTACATATTTATAAAAATAAAATAGACTGTACGTTTCTCAAAATTATATATACTAAAAAGATGTGTATTAATTATAGAAAATATATCATCTTAAAAATAAGCGAAAATTAAAAATTGTTTAGATGCTCCAAAAGTATATTCATACTAAAAGTATATACAATCGAGAAGCTTCTAAAATCAGGAATACACGCGAAGCTCGTTGTTAGAATAGAATGTTATTCATTGTATAAAATTACTAATTATTTAATGTTTATTTTCTACAAATAAACTTTTTTTATAAAAAAATTTCCTTGTATGAATACTTTTTGCACTTATTACAGCTTTTAATATATGTATGAAGGATTTCTATAACTAGAAAAAGTCCTTTTTGCAAATAAATCTTATAGTTGCTTTGATAAAAAAATATATTAAGCATCAGCTTTTTTTGAAAGAAGGAAGAACAATTTAAAGTGTTTAACATAATATTTATATGTATATAAGTGTGTACGTACGCGCGCGCGCGCGCGCGCGTACTTTTGGGTGTATATATATATATATATATCAATATTTCTTAGTAAATTCTACAACTTTAACCAAAAAAACCATCCTTCTTTAATTATCACATGTTACATACTACTTTTGATTTTCTTTATGAAATTTCTTTTATATACTACATGTATAATTACAATGCATGTTAAACGTTAAACGGGAATATTTTATTATTATAATATTGGAACATCTATTAATTCGCTCGATTTCTCTCTCGACGTTTATTCGTACAATATCATAACTAATCTCGTGAGGCTCGGTATTTTTGTAATTCGCATTGTCGCTCGAAATGTTTTCTCAAGTACTTATCATTAATACGGCAAGGCAATATGTCCACGAATCGTTTCCAAAAGTGAATCACGAGAAGGACGGGACGGCACGTCGACTTTATCGATCCTAAAAACTTTCCGGCACGAAACAGTCCCTTGTAGTCGCACATCTAAAAGCCATATTAAGGCAGCGTTTTCCGAAGGCCGGCCTTTCACTTCCGAGGGGCAAAAGCCAGACGGTTCTCGAGTAATAATCATCACGTTTGGGTTGAATAGAATAAGTACTAACAATAAGATAAATATATGCATATAAATTATTTTAAAAGAGGGAATGGAATTCCTTCTTGTGGAAAAATTCGTGGAAAAACCGTAGAAAATTTATCAACATTTTCTTTTCTTTCTTTTTTTCATATATCAGGAATGGCGCTGGAACTTTGAAAATCGTTGCCTTAAGGGAAATTAACAGGATGTCGTACTTCCGCTTGATCGGTGTATTATATTAGTTAATCGCTATTTAAATCTCTATGTGGTGTGTTGGAACATTGGTACAAGTACGATATATTCATGGAAAGAGACAAGGAAATTCCCGGTTGATCCCGGGGCCAGTGACGCGTGTTTATTCTTTTTTTTTCTTTTTCTTCTTTCTTACACATGTACAGGTACAGATATATAACATCGATTTGTGAAATCGCCTAATTGCTAGGCTATGGTCCGCAAAATATTCGTCAATGCGCCGATACGCACGAATACCGCCTTCTCTGTCGTCTCCTGTTTATTAGCCTACGGCGTACCTGGCAATCAACGTTTTCTAAACCTAACTCTACACACACACGCACGCGCGCGCGCGCGCGCGCGTGTGTGTGTAATTCGTGCATGCACAAGATGTCCCTTGCGTCTTCAATCATCCTCTACCGAATGTGATTTTATCTCAGAATTTAAAAGAAACGATCGCGCAAATTCTATCGACGAAATTTTACCAATTTTTTATTATCATCCGGATTAATGAATATTTCCATAACGTATCGCAAAATATTCGTGGTTGTATATTATTTTAGAATATTATTTTAAGCAAGATATATGTATATATATATAGAGCATAAAAACTATTCAGTATACATATATGCCAAATTTCAAATATATCAAAATATAAAAGTGAAAGTAAATAATTGCGCTATAATAACAAAATAAATTGTATATTTTAACCTATCATTATAAATGTAACGCAAATTTGATTTCCGGATGTTTCGGCTGACTTTCAACCATTTTCAATGATCGTACTAGATAGAATTATTTAAAACGTTTGTGTTCACAAGGAATAGATTCTTATACGAGAGAGAGAGAGAGAGAGAGAGAGAGAGAACGCAACGTATTAAAATATATCAATTATATAGTTAATAAAAAATCACAGATTAATTGGATTGCGATTCATTTAATCTTTCAAATTATAATCGTAGATTTTACAATCGTAGTATTATTATATACACATACTATAATTTTAATTATAAAATAATATAAATTAAGAAATAATTTTAATTGATATTGCTAAACGCAAATAATATATAAAAACAATTATGAGATATTACAAAAAATATTATAACATAAAACTGTAATATCTGTATAAAATAAATCACTTCATTTATTTTATGGTCCGAAAAAACTTTTTACATTTTTTATAGAATTAAAATTAAGAATTCTTGTACTTCCTTTAGGTGCTTTAACAATATTACTCATGTGTGCATTATTAATTCATATAAATTAAGTACTTAATATTTTTTGCAAGTATATACAGGGTCTTTCAAATTCGACGTACTATCTGCTATCCTGCTAATGCCAGATTTCTGAAGACATTTTGAAATGAAAATTCTAATCCTAAAATGTCTCTCGAGACTATAATAAATTTTTAATTATAATCATTTAAAGTTAGCGAATTATGCCGTCAAAAATTTGTGCGTTCAGGTGTGGTACAACGCAAAGTGTTAAAAGTAAAAGCCAATTGTTGTCTCTTGTTAATATCGATATAAATATTACGTAAGCGAAGACAGAATTACTGATATTTCTAATTATTGATACTTATGTTAAAAATATATTTATTAATAATTTATTATGCCTGGACATTTGGTATCAGAATTTTCATCTCAAAATGGCTTCAGGAATCTGCCATTAGCAGGTGGTGCATCTGAAATACCCTATATATACAGGAATTATTTCAGATTATTTAATTAGTGATTTACTTTCTCTGGGCAAAATCACAGGAGGAGAGCGGAAGGATATTTGCACTCAATTAATATAAATTCAAAAAAATTTTTTTAGAGAATTTTTGTCTTTGTTAAATAATTATTATGTCCGAAATAAAAAATCACCCGGAATGACGTCGAGATGCAAGATTCATCATGCATAGCAATTGTGTTTCTTTTTTTATCGTCGTACCTTGACGGCGCGCGGCACTTTGCCGGGATATCCTTTGGTGGAAGTCGATAAAAGGGATGTATCAAGTATACACGATGCTCGTGCACAATTTCGCTGGAACGTGATCGTTTTCGCGTTGCGATCGTCCTCGTTAAAATCATACGTTATAAGATGGACGGAAAATCGTCATTTGCAATTACCTCGTCAAACTCGCCTAGTTTTCCAAACGTATCGTTATCTCTTAACAGCTTTTACCGATGAATATATTTTGTTAATACTGAAATTATATTTTACACATACGCTCTTTTATTAATTGCGATGACATTAGTAGCATTGATTATCTTGATATTAACTCTTTTACGCTCAGTTAGAACAAAAAGGCTTTGTGTTTTTATTTATAGTAAATGCAAATATATAAAATATTAAAATATTGTTTTTTCTATGTCACATTTTATATTAATTCAAATCATTTCAACGGTCTGTAATTAAAAAATCTGTAATTAAAAAAAAACAGAGTGACAAATAGAGGGACAAACTACCATATACTAACAAAATTCTTATAAACTTATTTTTACTTTTATGTTTCATTTTAGTTTGTTTATTTTAATTATGGGAAGTAACAGACATGAATATTAATTCTCTTAGTTGTTTTATTGATTGCATCAGCGTTACTTTCAATCTTAAAGTTGACCTGTTCAATAAATTCTAAAATCTCATTAGTCATTATATCTTTATGTAGAATAAATTTACATAATAATTACGATTTTTATATTTAATAGATATATAGATGAATTTATAAAAATTAAGTTTTATAAAATAATAAGGATATCTTAATTATTGTTTTTGTTGCACATCCGCTTGCATAAGGTTATTGGGGAGGAAAGAATTAAAATACGTAAGTGGCTTCATTATTTACGATTCGAGGATAACGAGCAATGGAGAAACGAAGGTTAGTGGCGGTAGGACTTATCCCTGATATTTATATCTCCCATGGGCGAACGATCTTTAAAAGCTTAAGAACTGTTTCTTATTTATAATTCACAGAGCAATCGCATCTCTTATAAAACTTCTATTGTGCTCTCTGTGATATAATCTTCGTCCGAATTTTGCAGAATATCGACTGAAAATTGCTTGGAGATGGCACACTTTGATTACGTACATTCTATGTTACAATGTTATATTGTTCAGCGTTTTCAATTGAAGCAGTCTGAGTCGATGCGGGTTTCCAAAAAGATGAACTCTGATTTAGACAAAAGAAAATATATAGGTTTGTGTATGCAGTATAAATTCCGCGCAATTTTGGAGCCAATTTCATTTCGGATACTAATAAAATGTATAAAGAAAGAAAAGAATAAAATCGTAATTAAATAGGTTTATACAAACAATTAAGTATAAGAATATACATCTATAAATCTAAAAAAATTTTTTTAAATCTTGTTTTACAAAGAACCCAACATGCAGTCATGTAGATTTGTCCGCAATAAATCCAATGACTTTACGTTCGATAAAATAATATATAGTAAATACGGTTATATTTGTTTCATTGTTTTATATTTAGCTTTTGAATTCTATCGAATTTGAATGTAAATTCAATAATTTTATATTTATCTATTTACGAACTCGTACTCGTTATTATTTTCATCTTTTTTTAAGCCCGTCGATTAATTATTTTCTTGAGGTGATTTCGGCCAGGCTTTTTCATTGTAAAAACGCTGTTATAATGTTCCTCGATATATCACGCGTAACAACAAAAAGATAAAACAAAAATTGACATTAGACGCATTCGAGTAAAACAGCCGAGTATCGCGGTGCATCATTGATTTCAAAATTATAATATCACATGACGATTATTACCGGTCATTCAACGACGACGATCACACGAGAGACATTTCTTAGCGATTATAACGGTGTGGATCGACTTATCTTAAATCCCAGCGAGTGCCCAAAGTCAACGCTTAACAATCAGTCGTACTCATTTTGGAGTATAATACATATTAATCGATTAATCGCTTAATTCGTTATTACGTGCTCTAATTATATATACTATGTATATCTAGTTAAAAAGCCCCGCGCAAATCGGCCCATAAAGCTTTCACAATTATTTCGCATTTTTTTTTTACAAAAGTGATTTTTTTCGGCGGTTTTTTAGAGAAGATTGTTCAATCTTCCTAATTCAAGAGTATAAAAAAAAACTTATTTAAATACTTCTTAATTGTTAGCACCTATTAATACAAGGTGTTCTTCAAGTGCGCTCAAGTCAGAAATTATTTAAAAAATTCTTAACTCTCCCCTTTCTCGCTGTGCGAATATGTTAGCTTTTATTGTAAATTAATTTTAAAAAATTTGGATCATTTCAAATTGTTTCTCTCGTGTAGCCACATTGAGAGAACTAACTTTCGAAATTCACAATAATACACAGTGATGTCAGTGATACGCGATCCATATTTTACATCTACGAAGTATTCGTAATATCACGTAGAATGTAGATTTGTAGATTAATCGCTATTGACAGAGTCACAGAGTCGAGCGATACGCATTTATCGAATTTTCGCCGCTCGTTAAATCGTTTCGGCACTTCACTCGTATATGCTCTTTAATTATATCTCCTTTGTTATTCTGATTCCTTTCTCTGTTTAAGCGCCGAAATATCGTTCCGCAAAAATTCGAACGTTATGTGTTATTAATGTTTCACATGTTCTCTCCCACAACGCGAACGTTAGCAAACATTAGGCAAGATTGCCTTTGACAATTTACTACAAATATCCAGTTATTTCATTATTCGTGCCTTGTTCAAACATGTGCTTTTTAGTATAAATGTATGAGTGTGCGGCAGCAAAAACGGTCGTAGTTCGAAGGTACCTAAAACAATGCCGGACATTAAATATTAAGCCGATGCTGATGGGCGTCGTTTTTAATGCCGGCACCAATTACTAAATCTAGTATGACAGTAATTGCGACTAGCATTTCTGATCGCAGGTTGTCGGTAGTTTCGTCCGGCGATGGTACGTATGCATTGATCCCCATATGCAATCGTGGATGCTATACAAAATATCGCAAATCCGCGCTTTGAAATCTATAATTTCGATAATAATCTTCCCCAACGCTTTTCGAGTTATCTCGCTCTACATTGATTGACTTTATAATCAGAGAAATTTTATTATATCTGAAAATTGAAATTGATTTATTCGTTCATCGTTCTAAGCATTAGCCAAGAATTCATATCGTATCGCGCTATTCGATTTTTTCCATAGATATTATAACAAATCTTAGCTACATTTGCCAACAGTTAATTCAACGGTTATCACACAAACAAATTATGTAAAAAAATATATAAATAAAACTAGAAATTCATGCAAGTCGCGAAGAAAATGCTTCCCGTACAGCCATATATGCATTTCCAATTCAATCGAGTAATTTTAAATTCAAATAGCGAGCTATTCTCGAGCCGAGAAAAATTTTCATTCGTACTTTTGTACTTTCTCAGACTAAAGATTGCTATTTATCGTACGTCCATCATAGAAAAGCACGATAAATCGCGAGTTACGCGCATAAACTAGACTATGTAAATGGAATACGAAGCAACTGACGTGAATAAATACGAAGAAATATCAAGATAATAAGTACGACGTAGCGTAAGAAGACAATGTGTGTGTGTGTGTGTGTGTGTGTGTGTGTGT